CCGAAGGCCTCGAGCGCGGGGTTGGCCTGGATGATTTGATCCTCCAGGGTGCCCTGGGTGGGTGGGGGTTGGGTTGGGGGGGTTGGGTGACACCACAGGTGTGGACACGCCCAGGTGACCCCACCCCTCCCCCCGAGGGGGGCGTGGCCAGTACCTTGCTGCTGTTGGCCGCCTCCTTCTTGCGGTCGCCGATGGCGGCGATGCTGGCGAAGTATTGGATGACGCGTTTGGTGTTCACCGTTTTCCCCGCCCCCGACTCGCCCCTGGGGGGGAGAGGTCACCTGGGGGGGTCACCTGGCGGGGGGAGGGGTCAGCTGATCCCACCCCACACCTGTGTGGGGAGGGGGGAGGGGCACTCACGTGATGAGGATGGATTGGTTCTCACGGTCTGTGGGGGGAGAGAGGGGGGAGGGGGGGGAGGAGGGGGCTTCAAAGCGCACCTGTACAGGTGAGGAGCAGGTCAAGGTGATGTGGGGGGGATTGGGGAGCTCCACCTGCCCAGGTGAGCACAGGGTTGGGAGGTGTGGAGGGTCTTTGCGGGGGGGTCTCCAACCTTTCCCAGGTAAGGTGGGACAAGATTTGGGGGGGTCTTGGGGTGGGGGATGGGGGTCTCCACCTGCCCAGGTGAGCACCAGGTCAGGTGGGACCAGGTTGGGGATCTTGGGGGGTCTCCACCTGCCCAGGTGAGCACAGGGCTGGGAAGTGTGGAGGGTCTTTGGGGGGGTCTCCAACCTTTCCCAGGTAAGGTGGGACAAGATTTGGGGGATTTGGGGGTGGGGGGTCTTGGGGGGGGTTCCCACCCCTCCAGGTGAGTCCCGGCTCAGGTGTGACCAGACTGTGACAATTTGGGGAATTTTGGGTTCTCTTCTCTCCCAGTTGAGATTGGTCAAAAACTGGGAGGAACTACTGGGGGACTTGGATGTCCCCAGGTGAGCCCAGGTGAGCCCCAGATGTCTCCAGGTGAGCCCCAGATGTCTCCAGGTGTCCCCAGGTGTCCCCAGGTGAGCCCTAAGTGTCCCCAGATATGCTCAGGTGAGCTCTAAGTGTCCCCAGGTGAGCCCCCAGGTGTGCCCACGTGTCCCCAGGTGTCCCCAGCTGACTCCAGGTGTGCCCAGGTGAGCCCCGGTTGTCCCCAGGTGTGCCCAGATGTGCCCAGGTGAGCTTTAAGTGTCCCCAGCTGTCCCCAGCTGTCCACAGGTGAGTCCCCAGGTGTGCCCAGGTGT